CCCCCCCACTAGCTAAACATGAATCACTTGACAGATATAAATGAAAGGGTCACATCTTTGATTAACTTCTGCAGTTAGCACTGTTCAAAATGGCCGCTATGGCCAGACCTTAGGAAACAAAAAAAAGTCTACAACTAATTTAATTTGACAGATATTGAGCTAAAGTAACCAAGCCTAATTTTTAAACACACACTTTGAGCATCTTTGCCGTAAAAATTGAACATAACTCTTGGCATTCACCATGTTCGTCTGACAGCAAAATATCTGGTAAAGTGCTTAAAAGATAATAATTCTATGTGAGTCAAAAGTCTCAGGACACCCTTTTATTTTAGAATGGAAAGGGAAAATTAAATATCTGAATACCCCAGCAAGTAATGGGTAAGAAGGCCTGCTATGTCTACATGGCCGCCATCCTGAAAGCCGCCATATTGGATCAAGTTTAAAGGGTGTCCTGTGACATTTGACTCATGCTATTTGTAGTAGGAATTGTCAGAAATCCAAAGTAATTTGGGTTTAATTTGGGCAATAAATTTCACCACTTTGCTTTTGCTAACTTTGGCTGTTCCTTTTTAAGCTATTGTGTAGTTTACTGATGCATGTTTTCCATGGATTGCTGTCCCATCAACAAATCTGTGGAACCCGATTAGCGAATGCTTTTAAACAAGCTTTTAATGTGTACCCCCCATGAAGGGTTCACCAGCAGTTTGTTGCAGTGTCAGTTACATCAGGCCATCAAAAGTGAACAATTTCTCATCTGAAAAACAGTCAGAGTAAGAGGTTTATTGGTTAAAAACAAACCCTCATCGCTATTAAATTTGACAGACACGTCAGACATTTCAGACAGATTTCGCAGATGATTTTTCAAATGTTGGCTGAAAACACTTGGCATGTCAATGACACGGTAGGACATTTTTACAAGTGAGGGGTCTATAATGGAAAGTACCATTTAAAATTTTTATTTGAAAAAAAAAATCATAACTTTGTGACAACTTCATTTTAACATGATTTTGATTAACATAATTTAATGCATTTACTTATAAAATGTAACTATTTAATCTTTTAAGTCTTTCAGTTCATTTTGAATTTTAGTCTTATCTGCCCTTACCCACGTACAGTAGATAAACCAAGCAAGCCACAAGTTATTTAAAATATTTGTATACTTTGGCTACTGGTACACTACCTACTTTAATAGATGATTCAGCAGTTAGTTGGGACTTCTGCATAACAATATATTCTCAACCGTGGCAACAAAACTGCTACCAAAACAAGCTCAAAAAGCTTGAAAATGAAAAATCTTGTCTATGATCAAAAAGGAAAGTTTAACACAAGTCAGTTTAGAGCAAATACATCCGGCCTGTATAACAGTATAAATTTACAGACTGACTATCTTAGGTTCTGTTGCCAAAGCAAGCTGACCTCTTTCCAGATTTTTAACTAAGAAATGGGCTATTTTTCTATTTATTCTAAATTTCTCTGCATCTCTTGCCTAAAGACCAAAAGTGAGCAATAGCGTTCCTTTTTTTTGGCCAAACTATCCCAAATTTTACCTTGCTGCTGCTTCATTTCAACAGCAGGTTTTCACACCTCCATTAAAAACTCCCAGTCAAACCTATGGGTCTCCCTCAGAGGATTCTGGGTGTCTGGGAGAGCTCACCAAGTCGGAGCAAACACAATGGGCAAACAGTTTGCCCTTATCAGGCCGGCACAGACCAAAATCTCCCTCTGTTTCTCTGTTCGGAACAACAGCCCGTTCGTTTTCCACTCGGGGTCTTTGTTAGCCTCCCTCTCCCCCCTCTACGGCTTTACATTCAGTTCATATTCCAATGGGACGGCGGCGGTCTGCCTCCACATTAAGAGGCTGTTTGCACACATCTCTGAAGTAAACAAATGGGATTGGGACTCTGATTGCAAATTAAAATCTTTTCTCGGTGAAAGTAACAGCCTAATAGGGAAGAAACGCCCCAGTGAGGATAACTATAGCCGGAACATAACCTTGTTTGTTGCACAAACATATTCCTAATTACGAAGGAAGTAAACAGAGCAGACAAACGCTGTGAAGATCCCACACAACCTTTGTTTGCATTGATACAATGAGGCAGATTTTTGCTTACAAGTGTTACTTTTCTTATTTTTGTCTCCTGTCAACATTTTACACAGCTCATGTCGTCCCATTGGCGTCCGGCTGCAACGTAGGTTCCTACGAAACACTGATCAGAGAATTCTGCCTGGATGAGTTCCACCTCAACATGAGGAAGCTGGACCCAGGCTTGTGGTGTAGCTGGCCCGACACAATGGAGTGAGTTCAACTGCTAACTAAGCCAAAAATCATTTGAAGCATGTCAATCAGCATCACCAAAATGAGTCACTAAAATGCCTTGTGTATATGATAGAGTTTTATTGGATTTATTAAACTTCTTAAGGTGTTTCAAATAAAGTCTTGAGGTACGTGACAAATKTATTATTCATCATGGCGTGTCCACAGAGTGYAGCAGATAGAAACTGCTCTTAAGCAGAGCTGGTAAGACAAAACAAGTCTGTGTTGTTTTTACTATTATTCACATATTAAACCCCAGCAACAAGTGTTTTGAT